ATTTTTATTATTTTTGAAACATTGCTGCAATATTGCTATCGAAAGTTTGCAATTTTATATCCCTGCAATGTCTCTGCAAGATTGCAACGTTTCTGCAATGTAACTGCAACCATCTGTGCTGTATGGGCGGCGCAAAATTACCCGAAAATATAACAAAAAAGAAACGGGACACGTGCGAACTTCTCTTTGTCCAACTGCACATGCAATTTCTGTGTGAGCTTACAGTCACGTCGTTAAAAATGAACGACTCTTTAAGTGAGAACACGATGCGAATTGGCGATAAATAAATTCGACGACAGCCGTTAGATAATACTACTCTAATCACAGAGTGGAATCTGATTTCGCGCGATAAGAATTGAGAGATTTAATCATCCAGTAGTAGTAGTAGTATTTAGATAAAGATTTCATTGAATGAAGTGACAGTGCGTTTACATTGACATCGATAACAAGATATTATTCATGTTATGATGGCATGACGGCGCAATTTATGAGGAACATTTATCATGGTGCAGGCATGCAGAAAATTTTAAATTTATTTTAAGTGCGCTTTCAAATTTTCTTTCTACAGTATATAATTTTGTTTATGTATTCGCAAGATAAAAAATCATACCAAAGTAGAAAATATATAGAAAACAATTCGTATGTAGTGTATTCCAGAGTGAATTGATCAGTCCAAAACTGTGTTACTTTACGTATCATAAAACGCGTTTTCCATCGGACAAATAACATAACGGGCATCCTGAAAATGTCCTGATTATCATCGAGCAATTATATACATTTTGTAAATGTCGAGTTTTGTCGTTGAGAAAAAATATTATCGGTGCAAAAATTTGTTTGTACGAGACGACTAATCATCTGTAGAACAAATTTACAAAAGGCGTTTGACATATTCGTATTTATTTAGCTGTTTATCGAAGGCATGGCAAGCTGAAACTATTTGAGTTTTTTTATTCTTTAAAGCGTATCCCGTTTGCATTCCTTTCTACTTTGATTAATTATCGCTTGATGCATCGAAATGATTTTTTTTTCTTTATTGATTTGACATAAATAGATAATAAAACCTGCCAGATTATTACGGCATTACATTTTCAACACTACTTGTTTACTTAGATACCACGAGATTGTTTCTCTTGTAGGTTCTACAGAAATCACAAGTAGATCGCGTCGCACTTTATGAAAAAGAAAAGAGCCGCCTTATATAATAACATAAATACTTCACGCTCATTTATCCCGTCTATGAAAAAAAACTCGCACATATCCACGTGCTGACTCATACGATGTTATTCTAGTATTCTTAAGTAGTGACTCGATGTGCGACAGATTTGATCAATTACCTTGCATACAGAAGCTCGTATCTTAACGAGCTAGCTGTTTAATGAACACATTTTCTCAAAGTAATATAACGTGAAATATGTACAAGAGATAATGAGGTAAATCTCGAACTTGGAGGGAAAACAATATGGAATAAGTTGAGCAAAGATTGTAGAATCATTATAGGATAATCGCGATTTGGAGGGAGAAACCTCTTACATGTTATATTCATTAGATGTTACAATTGCCACGTCGACGTTCTTATCTATACAACACGTTGCAATAGGCAATCCCTTACACCCCTCTCGGATCCTTGTACATATTTGGTAGATATTACTTTGTTGCTATTGAAGAATACTTTGTAAATAGTTATCTCTACGTGGATGTGATTGTCTGTATTTAATTAACAATCTGTGTGCCAAGTATAAGATACAATTTTATTGAAGCATGTTTCATTACTATATTCTATGCAGTTTACATTGAGCCAATTTTGCATTGCTGCTTAATGTTATTTACCACGTACGAATTTCTTACGATTTGATTATTTTGCGAGTTCCAAGATTGTTAATTATATATGTGTAAAAATGAATTACAATTATAACAGCGAGTATATATAAGTTTTTCAATTCTATATACATCTTAAATAGTGTTGTATATATCTTTGTGTCTGTATCTCGAGAAACGAGGAATCTGTGTCTAATTATTTGATAATATTCGTAAAAAGTGCGCTAATCCTTCTTCCAATTGTTTGGAAGTTTGAAGTTTTCAATGCTGCTAAACAATATTATCGATAAATTATAATTTCTTCCAATTAGTTCAAGATGTAAGATAATGTTGCTATGTACAATTTGTTAGAGATATCTATGAATTAAAAATTGCCAAATTCTTGCTCTCCAATTGACTCTTATCTAATTTCAATTTTACATTTTAGAGAAAGACATAACAGCACAAAGTAAACAATACAAAGTTCAATCAAGTTGACTCGTACTCTACTTATCATACGGTGAAGATTATTCTGATATACGGCATATTAAAAATCATCAAATCAATTCTCGTTGTGTACGTGATGCTTTGAATTAGAAAAAGAAAACGTCATGTTATTCCAGGCTAACCCACCCCAATATCGTTCAATTGCTGGAGACGTTCGAGGACAAGCACAAAGTCTACTTAGTTATGGAACTGTGAGTAACGCGTATTTCTACTATTCTTTGACATGATAATATCGCAAAAGTTCGAAGACACTGAAAAGGCGAGCTTGGTCGAAATTACACTAGGGTCACTGGCGGAGAGCTATTCGACAGAATCGTCGAGAAGGGCTCGTACACGGAAAAGGACGCGTCCGGTTTAATAAGACAAGTACTCGAGGCGGTGGACTATATGCACGAGCAGGGTGTCGTTCACAGAGATCTCAAGCCGGAGAATCTTCTGTATTACAGTCCGGACGAGGAGAGCAAGATTATGATCAGCGATTTCGGCCTATCGAAGATGGAAGATTCTGGGATCATGGCAACCGCTTGTGGCACGCCAGGATACGTCGGTGAGTTTTTAGCGGCGATAAAGAGAACGAAGGGAAATATGGAGATGGATTTCAAGCATCGACGATCAAACGTTCACTATTTCGATGATCCAACAGCACCCGAGGTTCTGGCGCAGAAACCGTACGGTAAAGCGGTGGACGTGTGGAGTATAGGAGTCATCTCGTACATCCTCCTGTGCGGATACCCCCCGTTTTACGACGAGAATGACGCCAATCTGTTCGCACAAATTCTGAGAGGTAACGGAATGAACATTTATACGGCGGTTCGCGCTCGCGATGAGGCTTAATGCAGTGTTAATGCGGTTCGGTCGCTACTTTTAGGATCGATAATCACATACGCCAGGCTTAAGAATAAATTTAATTCATGAGATATTAAATCAATTTCAAGTTTCGCATTTTTTTTAAAGACATTTCTGTACAATATGCGCTAATAATAAGTGAGCAATTAATGTAACAACAAATTACATTCCGAAAAAATAGGAGTAGTCGCACGGAGTGAATTTTCTTTTAAAATCTATCCTGAAAATCATGTAATTGTGGGACAACACGGCATTTCGAAGGAGTCTATGAAAGTTTTTTTTTAAATTTTACCACACGTTTTAGAAAAACATACACGGAGAATATTTTCTCTTAAAATTTATCCCGAAAATCATGTAATCGAGAGATAAAATGGCATTTCGAAGAACTTTGTGAGTTTTTTTAAATTTTACCATACATTTTATTGGTAATTATATTTAATACACATTTTACTGTTAAAATGTATGGTAAAATTTTCAAAAACTCTCATAAAGTTCTTCGAAATTTTAAGAGAAAATTTTCTCCGTGGATATAACGCATAACGGGTATTCTCTAATTTTTTAATGCTAGAGCCTTTACCTGATGTAGGATGCTATTTTTCGCGAATGTTTATGTAAATATTTTTTTTTGAGAGGGAGGATACGCGAATGCCCCTAGTCGAAATAATTATAATAAAATTGCACATTCTACTTGGCAAAGAGCTAACCAGATTATTACAGGTGAATTTGAATTTGATTCACCGTATTGGGACGACATCAGCGCTTCTGCGAAGGATTTCATTGGAAAGCTGATGTGCGTCAATGTCGAGGAACGTTACACGTGCAAACAGGCTCTTGCACATCCCTGGTAAGAATCTTTAGAATCTCGTCGGAATGAAAATTACTGGAAGGATTTACTTTACATATTTGCATATTAATGTAGCGGCAATAATAAATTTCTTTAATGGCCGAGTTATTTTGCAAACGCATAACAGCAAGTGTATGCAAACAGAGCTTTAAACATAATGTATTTTAAAGTTGCACGGATATTACGGGAACTGATTTGTTCATAAAATAAGATATATTGTATATACATAATATATACAGGGTAGGCCATTTTAATCTATGCACTGAAATCTCTCAAAATCCATAAGTTTAAGACAAAAGTTGTTCAAGATAATGGAGGTCACCTGTCTGTGTAACTAGCTTTGACCTTGAGACTACTTTTCAAGGTTATTTGAAGGTCAGAGTGGTTTTTTAAATGGGAACCCCTGTATTTTATTACATATTCTTGTAGCTGACCTCGAGAGCTTTCCAAAATGCTATAATAATGTATTTTTTTATTAAGAACTTTTTGAGTTATTAAGGTTTGAAAGTTCCAATATTTTGACATAAATTACAAAATATCTTGTAAAACAGTGCTCGGAATTATTTGCACTTCTGGCCGGATTTTTGAGACAAACGCCTGCTTTTGTCCCCTTGCCGTGCGCACTCCAGCGAATGTCAGTTTACTTCTCGATAGTGGGGCGTGTATCAGGAGCGGCCCTGTTTGAAGAATGAAATTCTCGGAAATCCAATTCTCGGAATTTTTTATAATGCCACCTCTTTGCTGATCATGTTCTCCTGATACTTTGCCAGTTTTCACGATTCTTGATTTTCGTGATTTAAAGTTGGAAATTCTCGGAAATCCAATTCTTGGAATTTTTGATAGTGCCCACCTCTTTGCTGATCATGTTCTCCTGATATATTGCCATTTTCTCGATTCTCGATTTTCGCGATTTGAATTTGGAAATTATCGGAAATCCAATTCTTGGAATTTTTGATAGTGCCACCTCTTTGCTGGTCATGTTCTCCTGATACTTTGCCATTTTCTCGATTCTCGATTTTTGCGATTTGAATTTGGAAATTCTCGGAAATCCAATTCGTGGAATTTTAGATAGTGCCTCCTCTTTGTGGATTATGTTCTCCTGATACTTTGTCAGTTTTCGAGATTTGCGATTTTCGCGATTTGAAGTTTGAAATTCTCGGAAATCCAATCCTTGAAAGTTCAGATAGCCTAGCGAAACAGAGCCGCTTCTGAGACACGCCCCACTATCGAGAAGTAAACTGACCGTCGCTGGAGTGCGCGCGGCAAGGTGACAAAAGTAGGCGTTTGTCTAAAAAATCCGGCCAGAAGTGCAAATAATTCCGAGCACTGTTGTAAAATATTCATTTTTTTATCATCTTACCTTAATACTTTTTTGAACAGAATAATGAGAAAAATCAACCGGTGTGAAGAAAACACACAGACCCCCATTATCTTGAACAACTTTTGTCTGAAACATTTTTGTCTCAAACATTTTTGTCTCAAACTTATGGATTTTGCGAGATTTCAGTGCGTAGATTAAAATGGCCTACCCTGTATATGGATTAAGTAAGTAGACGGTACACACTTTTTCAATACTTGCCATCCGTCTACGTTTAAGGAATTCAGTAATTCAATGGTTATGATTATTAATGAATCCAATGTAATCCAATGATTCACGACAGTTTGATAAAATGTGAACGACAGACTCGTTGACAGCTGTAAATTACCATTCGTTATTACGCATCGTTTCGAAATATTTTTAATTTCTATTTTTTTTTACGTACCTACACATACACGTTACAAACCATCTCATGACTAACGTAACAAACTGCACGTTTGCAGCACGAAGACGATGTATAATAATACAGCTTTAATATTTTCAGGATTTCCGGCAACGCGGCTAGCAATAAAAACATTCATAGTACGGTATCCGAGCAACTTAAAAAGAATTTTGCCAAGTCAAAATGGAAGGTTGGTATCGCTGCTCAATTATTCATTATTAAACGTTTACGTGTCTTTACGTACCAAGGAATGTTTCCCTCTTGTGTTCACGATTGCAGCAAGCGTACCACGCAGCCACGGTCATACGTCAGATGCAACGGCTAGCGCTAAACAGCGGCCAGCAGCAACAGCAGCAGCAGCAGCAGCAACAGCAGGAGGGTACAGGCTCGATCGGTCCCTCCAGCGGCAACCCCACGCAATATCCAGAGCAATCGCAGGTCAGCTACAACCAGCATACGGGGCCGCTGGGACTGCCGCCCTCGAGCAATCACAGCAATTGAAGCGGACACGCGGGTCGTTGCTCACCGTGTCAAGCCTGATATTTACGAATCTCACTTCTCACTCCATTCCAATCGCTCCCGCCGACTATTCGCCACCGCTATATATGTGCAACAAACGCTTCAAGCTGTGGGGCAGCACACGCACCGCTCTGTCCACTCTTTTTCAGGACAATGTGTCGCAACTTAGGAAGCAGCGGAAGCATAAGAAGAGCTGAAGCCTAGGCACCGCTAGAGTCACGTGCGCGCGCGAAGGGCAACGTACCACGCGACGTGGCCATCGAGCTTACGAGAGCGACGGGGATAGATTAGAGCCAATTTGCTTCGCGCCAGTAACGCGTATACATACACGTACACGTACACGCAGAAACACAGTTACCATCGAAAGGCGTAAACTGCAATTCGCTTTGGCTGGCCCATGCGATATAATACGACTTGTACCTACTTCTATAGCAGTGTCGCAGTTACGTTCGCGGGCTTCATTCTTATGATTTACGACGTATCCTATGTTAAACCACGCATAAGCAGTAGCTCGTAGCAGTTTGCAGAATATGTTTCGCATCGATCTGACAGGCTAATAGGCGGTTACATCTCTAGAGATAAGACTTGAAGATTTGTGTGCCGCGATCATGCCTGCGCACTTTGTTAGATCGAATCCGTTCTATATATATAAAATGAAGTATATATACATATAAATATATATGCATTACGCGAACAGTACAACGACAAGTTTTTATATTTTATAAAATTCGGTGTGATAAGTAGCGCGGCTATTTGATACAATTCTGTGCAGCATAGAGATCTATACCGTTAGACACGGATGAATATAATTCCATACTATGGTTCCTATGTGATTTGATCCTCGCACTCCATGACATACACCTCGGTACGATAGAGAATATTCCCCGCTTGACGGAAGTCGAGGTTTACTTTTCACTCAACGTAAAAGCAGTCGCGAAAAGTTATCACCAAAATGCAGACGATATCGAGTGATCGCTTAGTGCACAGAGACGTAGCCTGATCTGTTTCTTTATCTCTCTCTTTATTATTATTGACGCGCGTGTTTCCGTATCTTTTTTTTTTATAACTGAGACACGCTTATATAATTGCTTACGCAGCCAGACACTTGTACAATGTGCTATTTTACTGTAATACGTATCCTGTATGTATATTCCACTCTTTTAACATATACGTAGTGATATTGTTATAATAACATAGGACCCTGAACGGGATCTGCTAAGCTAGCTTAACACTTGAAGACATGTATGTACATTATTCTGCTAACACTAATACATATATTGCACTACTATACTTCTATTTCTACAAGATGTAAGATGTACATAATGCACAAATACGCATCTAAACTCACATAGGCTATCTTGCGTGCCTGATTTTAAGATATAGACATGAGGAACAATTCTGTAAAGTTACTATTGCAACACGAACTTAATTATTTTTACGTATGCGTAAAGATATTGCATTATTGCGTTACTTTGCGTCACAATTTGACAGTTGCGACATTTCGATATCAATGTATATTTTATACATATATTTTTTTACTTTTTACAGTTTACCTTTTAATTGAGAAACACAACATACGTAGAGAAAAGATGGTAACATTATTCTTCTTTGTGTTTTGTTTTAACATCGGAATGTGCCATGTACATGGAGTATGATAGAGGCACGCTAGACAGACAATGGAGAACCGAGCTAATTATTTTTACGCTTGTATCATTTTATCTTCGCTATAAGACGCAAGAAGGAAATCGGCTCGAAAGTGCAATTTATTCCTAGTATCGATTTATACATAGCGCGAGTATTTGTCTCATTAATATACGAGTCAACGAGAGATAAAAGGAAATGTTACTTAATGACCCTCTGACTTGTTTGTTATTTTCACGTGACGTCAGCAGAAATGCAGCAAAAAAATGCACTTTTTGCACTGATAATTTTATCGTATCAAGACTGGTAGAACAGTTTTTTCCATGCGAAATATAAATATGTACAGTTATGATTCTCTCGAGTTCGGACGAGAGTTTCGTGCCGTTACGTCGTTATCGAAGTAAATGCACGAAGCTCGCTGGAAAACCACGCCTTAGTCGACATATATTTTGAACGCGTACTCCGCGTTGCGGAAATGTGCGTGCGATCGATTGCCGGAATGAATATCATAATTAAATTTGGCAAACTGCCGCCGAGGTACGCGGCTGAACAATGTAAAACCACCGTTTAATCACGAAGCTGAGCAGCTATCCTTTGCGAGACATATCCACGAGTAAATTCAGAGACCGATTAGCGATTTCTGCGTTTTATAGTTAGCCGGAGGTAGAAACACTTGGAACACGTGGCTCTCGTTAAAAGGTCCGAGCGCCGAAAAGAAAAAAATGAACAAAAAAAAGAACGCTAATTGCACTTTACCGAGCGCGGGCATCTCTGTTATTACAAATGTATTCTCTCTTTCTCTTCAAATTAAGCTATATAATAATCTCTCGGCATTGTCACGTTAGGCATCCGTCCGTACAGCGGGCACTTCTCGATGTAAGGGGACATTATAGAGAATCATAGAGAGAGAGAAGAGCACGTGCGACCGATGCGACGATCACTTTGAGGATGCGTTGGAGAACATCGCTTTGTAGTGAATCTTGCGTCCATTTGAAAGACGTTAGTTTTTTTTTCAGGCGTAGCTTTTCTTCTGTAAAAGAAAACGCCGATTAAAAACGTTCGAGATTAGACCACCTTATCTTGGGTGTCAAGGTCGTGTTCTCGATCGCAGCCCTAAGCAACTCTATATGAACTACGGACACTACTTCACTAGAAATAAGTTTACCGATAATGCGATAAAGCGCATGAGCGAAGGACCTTTATGATTATCCCCAATTACCATTAATTGTATTCGCTTCTTCAAGTACCTCGGGTACAGCTATCACTCAACTATTATTGGTGTCTTTCATTGTGTAAATTGACTTCTGAAGTGCCTTGGATGACATGATGATGGTACATTACCATACGTGCCATTGGTAGGAACTTTCGTAGGTGCTTATCACAGGATGTGTTCGAATATCCGTTGCGTTGCGCGAGACAAGTTTCTTTGATCGGGGCTCATAGATGTTTGAGGTTCTCAAGTCGACGTGCTTATGAGAGATCTACGCACGGCATTCTACAATGTACGCGCGTGTACCCACACAGCACAGAAAGATTGCAGGAAGATTGCAGAAATGTTACATTGCAAGATTGTAATATTGCAGCAACGTTGCGCAACATTGCTGCAACGTTGAAATGTCCACCCTCAGAGAGATTGCGGTGCAACATTATAGCAATGTTGTAGTGCAGTATTTTTGGAATAATTTGTTGTTGTACATAAGCAGAGAATTTACTAATTACATATGCATCCGAGCCTTTTTCAATACACAGCAAGCTATTGCGAAGCAACCTAAGGAGATTATGTCGCTTCGCAATAGATGGAGATTGCGAGCAACACGTACCGCACTGATCAAGTACTTAATAATTCGCGCATTATTGGTGTCAACGAAAATAACATTATAAAATACTCGTAATTAGAAAAATTTTTAAATAGAAAATATAGTGTTTTCATTATTTTTGTAACATTGCTGCAATATTGCTATCGAAAGTTTGCAATTTTATATCCCTGCAATGTCTCTGCAAGATTGCAACGTTTCTGCAATGTAACTGCAACCATCTGTGCTGTATGGGATGTACGCGCGTGTAAGTGTGAAGAAACATTGAGAACGTACGTATTTCTCTCATCAGTACGGTAGCTCGGTAGATAATATATTATTTTAACTGTGCAGTTATATATACACATAGTCGTTGGAGCAAACACGCTCTCCCTGCGTTCTTTCAATTCCAGTGCTGAAGTGCTTCGCGTGTAATCAACATCATGTCATCTAATAAGAGAGATTCGCTAGAAAACATTCGTTTTACGCTAATAAAGCGCGCGTTGTGACGGCTCTGCGATGAAAATTCTAAAGAGAGGTAGAGGACAAAAATGAGAAAACAGGAAGGATTCAGAGAGAGAGAGAGAGAGAGAGAGAGAGAGAGAGAGAGAGAGAGACGGAGCTTCTTAGCTTGTATTCAAAGTACCGTGCCACGTGAACAAACACATATCGGCAGGAATACTGTAAATGTGATGTAAAGATAAGCTGATTCTAAGTAGCGACGAGTTGACGAGTTTAACGAATTGTTAGTAAAATCTCATCTATACAAAAAGAAATATATATATATATGTAAAGGCCAATCTGACTGCTGTGTGCATAGAGCGAGAAAGAGAACGATAGAAGTAGCGTGATGTGCAGGACGATGTCGAAGGTCCCCCTCGAGGTCCTCCTTAGCCGCGGACCCTTTGGCATCCGCGCGTATATCATTATTACCGAGATATTTCGAATATTATCTAGAAGTGTAACGCGGACACACTAATATCTTCCTACTGTATTTTTCTCACTGTACAAGGCTTGCGGTCGTTACGCCTAGGGAATGCAAACGCACGGGAGCTCGGTCGTCCCTCCAGGGGACGAGTCTTGCCGTTTTATCGTCGCGAGGAAGTTACAAAGTACAGAAAGAAACTCTCTACACTGTAATAAATATGATAATCGAGACGAATCGCGCGTGGCCATTGCCGCCGTGCGCCCGGCTCGACGCCGTAAAGGGGATTAATCAGAATAAAGATAAAATAGTTTAAAATGTGCCAATGTTTACGATGTCCTTTCGGTGATGTTGAACGACGACAGCTTGTTATCTCTTCGTTACGCTGGATTTGGCGATGTTGCGCATTATCTCACTTGTCCTGTCGGGCTCCGCGACTTGAAAGCTTAACTCTATAATATAGCATATGCTCTTTACATATTGCGGCCTACGTCTGAGAGAGCGTGTAATTGAGAAAATGGGAGATACGCAGAGGAGAGAGAGAGAGTCCTATTTTAAGTGTTACCTGAACATCTTGATCTTTTTTTTTGTTTTTTTAGAATACTTACTTTCCGTTTTACCGATCCTTTTCCGATGGAGGTGAAAGCTATGCTTTTCGGGGAAGAACGATTGGCCTTACGAAAGATTAACGATCGATATACATATTTTGTGAAGGTAGAAATAAGTATAACAGCGAAAGGCGCATTTTAAATGCGCAACTTACTTTCGTTTGTCTCACTTAATTGACGATTATATGCGTGATCATATGCGGTTGCACGAAACAGGGCGCTATTTTTTGTACAAGCTGCTTATATAATTAGAAGAGGGAAAGAATGTCGCATGCAATATACACGTCGAGTACTTTAGAAAGACTGCTATTTCCATCACCAAATTTAATTGGGGGGAGGGGGGGACAGTAGCTACAAGCGGATCTGTTGTTTCCTCTTTGTACGACTTTGGTCTTTCACGCGTGTTAAACTCGCCATTAGCAAGCACAATGATTTCTTTTTCCTTTCGACGACGGTCCAAGTCCCTGAATTTCATTCTTGTTGACTTACATTTGTACAGATAATATAACGCGTTAATCGCACTTAGGAACGATAAGTTTCCCGCTGATACGGCAAGAAATATTTTGTTAATGAAGTTGAATTCAATTTAAGAAGGCGTGGCAATGACAGGATGCGGTACGAACATTGTTTATATGGTAGTTAATTGAGAATGTGATAAAAATAATAAATGACATTTAATTCTTGATTCAATAGCCATTTATTACAACTCCTTTCAAAAGAAAAGATTATCTTTCCTTCGCTAATATCGTTTATAAAAATTGATATTTGGTGCCTATGTTGATACATATAAGCTCTGTTATTTGTACATTTTATTTAAATGCGATAACAAGAATGTTCCGTGTCTTGTGCTTCGTTATTTTTCTCTATGTATATCTTTCTTACAAAAAATTTCAGGATTTCACGATCACACAAATAATACGTTTCGTTAAACGTGCATATAAAACGGTTGCCTTTAGAACACCCTATAGAGACATTACGCGTAAGATAATTTATCTCTCGCTTCTCATTCGTACGCGACAAACAATGTAATTCTCTCATCACGACCGAACGAATAATTTTTTGCATTCTGCATTCTGATGGAAAATAATGAATATTTAGCGTAATAAACATTAGAATCTCAGAAAGCAAAATTTCAAAGTGCTACATACTTGATACACTTAGCTGCCCATTAAACAATTCCGGTCTTTTTATTATACGACTAAAATATTCCGTGTAGCGCGAGCTCGTCTAAGTGCTTCTTTGATTTTTCATTATTTCATTAAAAAAATAATTATACACACTAGTTCAGAATATCGCGAGCGATATTGTGTGATGTAGCCTTTCAACTGCTTTGTACAAAATCGAAGAGCAAATCTCAATTCGATTATCAATTTTGAATGTCGCACCGCACGGACACTTGTAATTACAAAGTATTATTACATGCATAGCAATGATGTTGCAATGATACACGACTCGCGATTGGACTTTGTAATAAAGTCGAGCTACAGACTTCTGTAGAATTCAAGTCTGTACAACACACGATAACGTAACGATGATTCGACATGACGCCCCTTCGTCGCGAGAAATTATTCGAATAGAATCGAAACTTCGCGAGTTGAAGCAGCTAATTTCGGGGACGTCGAGGTGCAGTGAATGCAACGTTAGAATTAATATCAACGTAAAATATATTATTACAATTTGTTATAATGTATCAATGATGATTGCGTGATTTAGGTCAATACCAACCGCATACCGAATCTTGACGCAATCACTTGGTCACTTCACAAATATTTCAACGGTCGTGCACAGCCGTTTCGATAGCAACTGTCCAATTTAACAGTCCAATTCCGATTCCGAACTGTGCCGATTGAAATAAACGGCGCGTCCAACGTATGTACACATTTCCACTGAAATTTAACGTAATTTATCGCTATGATATCTTTCTGTTAATACTAGCGTCGGCCTTAGAGCGGCTGGATTATGTTACTTAGGCAGATCGTGGCAATTACGAGTATCATTCGTCGAATGCATTTAACGCCTCCCGCAGTTTATCGACTATCTTCTGATAGAAGGCGATCTGTTCCGTGAGGTGCGTCCGCACGGCTTTATTTATATGCACTTCCCGTTCCGTCTGGAAGTGAACCTCCTCGGCGATTAGCGCGCGAGCAATTACGTCGGTTCGGTGGGAAAGCTCGCGTAGTTGCTGCGGCTCCATTTTATGCTCACTGACCATTCGCTCGCAGTCCCTTCGCTTCTGCATGGCGCTCTGCAAAAGAAGGAGACACGAACGCATTGAAAGACTAATCTGCCGAGACTGTGAACGCTGTTAGTCCACGCCCATACAGCACAGATGGTTGCAGTTACATTGCAGAAACATTGCAATCTTGCAGAGACATTGCAGGGATATAAAATTGCAAGCTTTCGATAGCAATATTGCAGCAATGTTTCAAAAATAATAAAAATACTATATTTTCTATTTAAAAAATTTTTCTAATTACGAGAATTTTATAATGTTATTTTCGTTGATACCAATAATGCACGAATTATTAAGTACTTGATCAGTGCGATGTTGCTCGCAATCTCCATCTATTGCGAAGCGACATAATCTTCTTAGGTTGCTTCGCAATAGCTTGCTGTGTATTGAAAAAGGCCCGGATGCATATGTAATTAGTAAATTCTCTGCTTATGTACAACAACAAATTATTCCAAAAATATTGCACTGCAACATTGCTATAATGTTGCACTGCAATCTCTCTGAGGGCGGACATTTCAACGTTGCAGCAATGTTGCGCAACGTTGCTGCAATATTGCAATCTTGCAATGTAACATTTCTGCAATCTTCCTGCAATCTTTCTGTGCTGTGTGGGCGCCGCCGGCATTACGTAATACCTTGTGAATGCTGGTGACCTCGGGAAAGCTGCTGATAATACCGCGATAAATGTGAAACTTGTCGGACAACGGCTCCCAATCGAACTTTGGCTGGTCCTCGTACAGCCTGCCGATGTCATTGTAAGCGTCGCCGGTCGCTTTCAACGCGCGCGTCAGCCTCACGCGACCGTTGTCGTCCGCCTCCAGTGCGTGGCTGAGCGACGTAAACGACTGGCTGATCTTCTGGAACTCCCTCTTGTACAGAACCTGATGCTTCTTCGCTTGATCCACCGCCATGGCCATGAAATTCTTCACCGCCGGATCTAGGCTGCTGATAAATCTGTTAAAGGTATCGGTCTGGATCTCCATTTTTATCACGTCCAGCGGCGCGTCCGGGCATTGAATGGCATTGAAATAATTCACGCCCAGCAGCTCGTCCTTCTCCGCCTGTCGCTTCCCCGCCTTCCATCGCTTCTCGTCCGTGCAGGTGATAAAGTGCTCCCAGACGCGGCTGCGCGACAGCACGGGATGCCGACAGACGTAGTCCACGAATTCCTGTAGTTGCGTACGCCGGTGCTCGATAAACGCGTCCTCGTAACGCCCGGATATCTGCTTGTCGGGCAGAGGCGGGATCGGGATGAAACAGTACTTCTCCTCCAGGCGTTCGTGCAGCCAGTCGAAATGCTTGTACCTCCTCGAGACTTGAATATTATTGAACTGCAATGAAAACATTAACATTCCAGAGACATTCAGGTAACGGACGAGGGGACGTGTTGTGCTACCAGGTTTTGTTTTTACCGTAGGAGTCAATTGATAGACGATGAAGCTCTTGAGACCCTTCAGCTTGGATTCCTTCTTGGGCGACGTGACGACGCAGCTGTAGGACTCGCCAGTCGGTAGCCACATACACCGGCCACCGTCTCCCTCCTCTATGAAGATCTTCTCGCTCTCGGGCACAGTCACCATTTTGACGCCCAGCAAAAAGCTATCTTCCCCCGACTTGATCAGCGTGGAAAACTTATTGTTTTTCTTTGGTACGTTGGGTATAGGTCTCTCTGGTATCACAGAATGTATAGTATGCATCGACACTTGGTCGCCATAGTCGCTGGCGTTATTCTGTTGTGGTATAATCTGCTGCTGCTGCTGCTGCTGCTGCTGCTGCGTGGGCGGGACGTAAGCCTGCGTCTGTCCAACCTCAGAATCGTCGTCCCAGTCATCGTCCCAGTAATCTCCCGAGCTTTGCTGCGACGATGTCATGGTATCTACACGCACGCGTACACACACACGCAATCCAATTATATAGATATCGAGTTACGCAATTTTCCAAAGGTAAATAGCTTATCTTTTATCAGACGATTGAATCGTATTATAACATACGGTAAGTAGATAACACTAGCGAATATCACTGTCTATACTATGGTCTCTCGGATAAGAACACTTACTGGAGGACTGCGCGGCTTGGTCGACCACCTGGACGTACGCCGCCGGGAACAGTCCCGACTGCCCGCCCTGATTGAATCCCTCGCACCAGCCATCACCCACGTTGTCCCGTATGACAGTCAGAAGCTCGCCGGCGTTGATCGACAGCTCCGCCGTGCCCGACTCGCCCGTGAAGTCGTACAGCGCTCTCACCTGCCAGACAGAAAAGGAGGCGAGTGAAGAGAGAGAGAAGGCGCGCGCGCGCGCGAGCGAGGGGACAAAGAGCCGTCTCGCGCGCTCGTAATAACAGAGTGAGTCATAGCGAGCGGCGGGTTGACCGAACTTGTCGAACGTGGCTCATTTTCTCTCTCGGGAGGGAGGGAGGGAGAGGAGGTCCCGCGCGTACCTGGTGGTTCTCCATCGTGCGCGAGTCGTGCGCGGGCCGGACGCCGAGAGATATTCGAACTCCGCCGAGAGGCTGCGCCCGGTTTCACATTCCCACTCCTCGCCACCCGCCGTCACGAGCCGCCTGACATTTGCGCGCTGCTCGCGTCCGCGTGCGCCGCGAGCGACGAGCCAGGGATGACTGTACCCCCGGCCGCTCGCTCCGCCGAGAGACTTGACAGAGCCCGCCTCTTAATTTGCACCTCCTACATCCCCCCCCGCCGCCGTCGTCGGCCCAGCAATTTTATCTCTTTCCGTTTCCTCCCGGCGAGGCGTAGACCGTCGTATCCGTTTCTCGAGCGCGTCCACCGCGCGCGTTTCCCCTCGAGACGCGACGAGAGCCCAGCCGCGGGTGTCTACTTCATGTCTCGAGCGGGCGCGGAAAGGTGCAGCGCAAGAAGAGCGGCTCGTTATCACGCGCTCGCGTCCGCCGCCGACAGAAGCGGGACCGGTCGCAGCTGATCGGGCATCACGATCGTTGCCGGCGCGCGAGCGAAGGTTAGAGAGAAATCGAGAACCGATCACCACAGATCCGCCCGCTCTCGGCCGCCGACACGCAGAGCGCGGAACCTCCTTGAAACTTTTGGCCGAGGTTATACGGCGCGTCACGGCCACGCGCGTTGTCGCGAATACAAAGGA